TTTATAATTATTCTTTAAATTAATTGTCTTTATTAATGAAAATTTCGTACATTAGACTATACTTCTTAATCAATTACTTAATCTGTCGTCAAATTATTTTCTTATTGTGTACAAAATCAAATCATAAATGGCAATTATAAATACTAATAAAATAATAATATTATTTTGAYGTGTAAATCATACACCACCTGCTCAAAAAGTATCATAAATATTAAAAAGTTATAATATATATCAAATATTTAATCGTTCATTTAATATAGTCCCTATACACCCTAAAACATTTGACACTGTTAACTATAATTATTGAAACTAACATTCAATGGTTTCTTCTCCAAAATTTAAATGTAATTTATAACTATAGTTATTCTAATCAGTTTAATATGAAGTTAACTAGATTTCTTTTGCATGTTTTACATTTACTTCGATTTCCAATGTATCAATAYGAATGAGGTACCTATGAAGTGGATTGCATAATATTTTATGGAGAGTTTTATAAAGTACTCTAATAATCTAATAAATATAAGCACAACCTACGTATTCAATAATATTAATATGCACATAATATTCAGTAATCGTATCATGCGATCGAGGTCCATCTCCTAGGTCTCGTTAACAAAAAAAAAACTTCGTATAGTTACTACCTTTAGTAATAATAAAATATTTAGATACGAGGGTAGACGTTACAATTAATAAAAAAATAATAATAATATAATTTATAGTTGTAATGGATTTTATTTTTTTTGCAATGTTTTTGATTTAATGTATTAAATCTATTTGGAGTCCTTGAGATATAATATTTTATTATATTATTATTTTATGTTTCAGAAACTTGACCAAGACGATGACGACGTGTATCTTAACTCCCCCTGGGCCGACGGCAGAAGTCTAAAAAGAAATCTGCATCAGATCGATAACATTTCCTGGAAGCCCACCAAATGATTTAATACAATACGCGACACTATATTATTATTTACTATAGTATTTTATTAAATTCTGATCCGTATCGTACGCGGACTGTTTTCGTTTTTCTATAAAAATACCTTTACGCGTTTGCAATTAATATTGTTATACATAGATAACGTTTGATTAAATTTTCATTCAGATTAAAATATTTTAGCGGTTTTCCGCTGCATGTTCAAATTACGATTATATAATATTTACTATACAGTGATTTGTCTGCAGTACCATTAACAATCATTATATAATACAGAATAACAGTAATCTAGGTMAATATATGTGACATATAATATTTATGTATCCGGTATCGCTGTCAACACGATCGCGATTCGCGAGGCCAGTGTTTCAGAGCCCTCAAAATATATTGCGTTTTCATCCGTTACACACTTACATCTACCTACTAAATAATAATATAATAAATGCTAGTAACATGCAGGCAAACGGTCAGCGAGAATAACAGAATCAGTAGTGTCCGACTGGTCGTCTTTTATTCAAACGATATGACGTGACTTGTGCGTGTCCATTAAAGTAAACTATTCGACGGTAATATAATATGTACGCGCGCATTTCTTTCGTCTGGAAACCGCGTAGAATTTTAGATGTTTTTCTCTTTCGTGCCCACTCGATCACGTTCTATGTAGTAGGTACATATTATAGTATACAATATAACATGGCGGCGTCACACTCGGATCGGGTCAACCATTACCAAGGCCAAATGTCTTAGACGCCGCCAAGACGTCTGTAATCAGTTATTTAAACACTTTTTTCGTTTCATTAAAAAATCGTTTTGTGTTTATAAAAATAATATTATTCACAAGAATCCATACGAAGCCACTTTTAAAGAAATATATTAACTTTGATATCGGCGGAGCGGAGAAAAACATTATATTTAGATTTGCAGGAAAACTTTCCGAAAGTYCGTACGGTTTTATTTTTTATTATTATTTATATATATACATATAATTTCGTCGTCGACTCTATAGCGCGCACTTTTCGCACGAATGGATACGATGTATACAGGGCGAGCAGCCGGATTTTCCTGTTTTTCCGTCTCAACTATACGCATCATATCAAAAAACATCGGTCAGTGATCCGCCCTGTGTACGGCTATATAGTTGCGTGTTGTTTATTATATCGTCGTCACACATACTTATGGCATTGTCCGTCAGATTCGGCACAAATTGTAATTTGTAATAACAATAACAGCAACAACGACAGCGACAATATTGGCACAAGTGCCCACAATAATATTATTATAAATGATAAAGGTAAACCGAGCCATATACGCGGGGTTGTATAGTGATAATATTATTATTATTTATTGTTGTTGCAGTGATTGGTGAATTTTGTTTGATCGTAAGTAGTTACGTACCTAGTATGTATATAGTGCTATACGTAAGCCGGATACGCAATGATTGACACGTATATGATACACGCAAATTTAAATAATCATCGCAAACCGTTGGAATCGGTACACGGCCCTACTATCAGTGCTCAATAATGTCATGACGTTAAATCGTATATAGGGCATACAATGTGATGAGAATTATAGGCGTGGGCTCTCGGTAAACATTTGGCAGACTCGACYGCCCTGCAAATCAAATCGCATCATCGAGGTAAAAACTATGTACACTGAAAAATCATTTTTCTGCAATTTGGAAAGTGAACCTATAATAGTGTTGTTTTTCTTCTTTATTTCTTCTGTACACATCCAGAGAGATACCTAACCTAACCAATTATTTAGAGTAATAACTATTACAGATCCGGACCGAATGCTGTAAATTTAATTTTCAGAAAAACAACGTCGATTTAGCTTAAATAAAAATACGTATATAATATCGAAGGAAGATACAATTTTACTATAGGTTTTGCATGCTTTGATTTTGACGAGTATATGGCGCGAGTCGAGGAAGCACGGCCGTTTACATTTCCCCACAGACATTTTACAATAATGGCAAGACAGTATTTCACAGATGCTCGGCTTTTATATAATATAAAACCCTCGTATCTCTGTAGTGATTTCGTACAGCATGCGACCTACACCTGATCGTATCACGATGATTATCGTCCACCCCTCCCCCCCTCAAATATATATTAATTACTATATAGTAGTCGATCATTCGAGAAACAAATGTTGTAGGTCACGGTGTACTATTTAGCTGTTGAATGGTAATAGTAGTAATAATTTTTATTATAATTTTTAGATATATGGCCTAATAAAATAACGATTATAAAATATTCCTAACTAGTCGTGATTGGGTGGGGGGGGAGTTGGTTATATCCGTAAAATGCCATTTCGTATACATAGTGGGCGCCATATTCTATTCTATTCACATATATTCAACAGACCTCGTATGTCATATAGAAATTATTATTGTTGTTGYTGTTGTTGTTGTTGCATACCCGTAATTGAGCTCAGAAAAGTGTGTACCTTTTAATGGTACGTATACATCGACATAACGATGTTAAAATGACCGTGTGAAGATGACTGCTTTTGTAGTACCTACGATGAAATATTGGCCATAATACTTTTATTGTTATTATTTCATTAATTTAAAAACTAAATCTACTGTAATAATATACTTAAATATCATTTCCAAAAAGACTGATACGTGCTATTCGTTGTAGATATAATAATATTATTGTGACGTGTTTAATATTAAATGATGAGCATAGTCGTAAGATCTCAAATTATTATTATTATAATTTTTAAATTTTAATCACGTTTCTTATATTATACATTATTATAAATCCATAATATATAATATGTATATGTATCATAATTAATGATAATACATCGTATATAATGTATTTACTTCTAATTACTTGTCTTTCTTATTTATT